ACATACCAAATTTCATCAAGATATCCCAATTTTTACTCAAGTTACAGCTTGCACGGACAGACAGACAGTCAATCAGATTTCGACTTTTCTCGTCACCGTGATCATTTATACATATGTATATTATATAACCCTATGTACATCTATCTCGATCTGGCTGCAAGAGTATAAAAACTAAAAAGCATGGGTTTAAAGCACATCAAACTAAAAAGTGAAAAATAATTACTAAATAACCTGACATGAATAATAATAAACGAAAGGTACCTTTACAGCGCTGGTTGCTTCATATGCGAAAAATATGGCACAAACCACCTACCTACCTTTCGTTTATTATTGTTTTTAGGTTATATTAGTAACTTTTTTTGAAGTACTTTAAAAACGTGTGTTTTTTTTTTAACTGTTTATTTATTTTTCTCTTCCTCTTTATTGTGCAAGTTTTTCTTTTTTCTTTTCTAATCATATTTATTATTTGGTATTAGAGCAAAATTGTTATTCAAATTATAGCATGAAAAGTTGATGTTTAAGCTACATAGTTTTAGGGGATTTTTTTTTTTTGTTTATGCAGTAAATATCGAACTGTTGATTCTGTTATCAGAGCCATTCAGTTTCAGTACCCCTTAAAAAAGTTACTCCTGATACAGGTGAATCTCATAAAAGTGTTTTAAATAATTCAAATGCTGTTGCGTTCAGATATTTGGTGTCTGGTTTTTACACCGTATTTCAACTTTTTCAACATAACCGTTATATGAGAACAGTGATTATTATAAAATTTTACCCTTTTTCAGATGACCCTTGTTGCCGCGATCTCCTGTACCAAATTACAATCCCATATCTTAATTTAATGCTTAGTTATTAGGCATCTGCAATATCGGCCTTTCTTGAGTACCAAGGAATATATATAGCAAGTTTTATACAGAAAAAGTTATAAACATACATTCATAGATACATCCATCCATACATACTATACATACAGCCATGCAGGTGAAGCTAATAAAAGCGTTATTGAAAAAAACTTGACACATCTGTAAATATTACATTGACCCAATTACAGTTGATGGTTTTTGCGTTTGGATTTGATTATTGTACTGCTGCGTTTAATGTCAGATCTTTAAAGTCTGTCCTATATTGTATTTAAAGAAATATATACGTTTTCAAACATTTTTTTAGCTTCACTTAGACTGAGCAGAGCTTTTTTTTCAAAAAGAGGAGCAATAACTTTGATCTCACTTTTAGATGTCACATGATCCCTCCCAGGTTTGGCTTGTCATCTGCGGTTCCAGTTCCTTCTTAATGGTCAGACCACCTCTTCACAAATATACAACTCGTATTCAAAGACTTTGGCATCATACATTTGACATGTTAAACTTACACCTTAGATTAGGAAAACAACTTTTTAATATAATATGTGAAAAAGCCCAAGGCAGTGAAATTATTGAAGTATCAAGTTAAAAAATATTTAATAACGTCGCACGCTTAAAAGAATGACAAATTCATAATAAACAACACACCTTAAGTATTATTTTATTAGATATGCTTCAGTTAAATTAAGTACACTAAAGTTGAATTAAAACTGACTACTGTGGAATTAAATTAAAACCATAAAGTCAGAAATCTTAGTCTTAAATCTTTAAACTTTGAGTTGCAGGTACAAAATTATTATATATTCCCCACCCACCCCCAAAATTCTACTCTGGATCCTCCCCTGGTTTGAACATGGTTGGAGCATCATGTGTACTAAAAGCTAAAGCTTAAAGCAGTTTAAGTATATGCCGTCATAAGCAACAGTAAATTCAGCTATAAAGCAATAATACTGATTAGATTGGATAACCAGCAATTTGTTGGAACCCAGGTTCAAAAACCTCGTCACTTGATATTGTTTAACTAAAATTATATGACTTTTAAATAAAACTAGTCTGACATTTTTTGAATAGAATACGCGCAAAGATTTCTGAAAATACGTCACATAATTTGCACATAAACGAAAGAAAAATAAATAGTGTGGTACATCTCCTTGGAAAAATTATAATCTCAGGATTAACTATGATAGAAAAGGTTCTATGTATGCATGTGAGTTTACAAATTTTATTTTTTTTCCATCCAGCTTTCATCACTCGAGCTGAACATAAAGTTGTTGTGATTGTAATAATGTAAATCCCAGCCCATGAATATTAAATGAGCACAGACGATTCTTGCTTCAAACAAAAGTATTTGTAGTAACAACAAATGAAAATTCGAATATTTCAGTAAAATGTATATTTATACATAAGAAAGCCTTGCATTTTATATTAAACAAAGTACCCTTTTGAATAAAAATTATTACATTTTTGGCAAATTTATGAATGAATACATATACATAGGTAAGTACCCATATTAACGCATAAACTCATCTTAAATACGATTGTGGCATGTCCATAAACTGAATTATGATTTGGATCATTCAATTATAAAGTAAAAGTTACCAAAATCATTGTACAACTTTTTATATATGTATGTATATTATAAGAGAAGGCATAATAATTTTCATAAACACGTCATAACCGATTCTCAATGAAAAAATTTGGAACTGAAACTGGTTTCTCGGTAAACGCATGAAGATTATATGCAACCCTGCAATAGTAATAACTTCTATATATGTATACATATGTGTATGTATTATATCGGTGTTTCGTCGTTGGCGCAAATAATTCACTTTAGCTGTAAACAAAGAATTTTTCTTGAGACTTAGTTTTAGACCAATGCTATCCATTGGAAAACTTCTTTCAAAAATACATATTTCAGAGATAAAGGCGATACATATGCAGGTTCTTACGTTAGAGCGGGTCGATTTAAAGGAAGCCAAAAAAGCGGAAAAAACGCGTGAGCGGGAAATATTCAACTCATCACTCCGAACAACTTTGCCTAAGAGACTATACATCTAAAACCAATTTCGAGCAAGCCTTTTATATGGAGAATGGCGCTGGTCCCATTGGCTAGGCCAAGACCGCTCTCTCGCAAGATTGTTCTGCTATTTCGTTTCGTTTAATACTAATATATTTCGGAAAACAAAAGACCCGAAATTTATTTCGTTCGCTTCCTGACACATTCCTACACCGTCGCATTATTGATTCCAAAGTCCGTCTTTCCACGTTACTCTGGCGTCAACTTACCCAAAAATATTTATTTTCAAGAATGGGTTTTATTACGATTTTATTTATTTGTAGAATCAATTGTTATTTCCTCTACTAAATGGCACGATTGCTTTCTTTGTTAGATTAATACTTAGTACTGCCTCTAAACACCATTTCTTTGTTAGTATGAGTACTCCTAATTTCTACCGTTTCCGTTACTCTGTTATTAATCTTAAAGTTGAATTTTTTAGTATTTATGATAATTGAAAAGATTAATTTTTACACTGTATCGTAAAATGCTTAAAAGAATTTTTATTACTAAGTCCTGTTGAAATAACATTAGCAACAGAGAAGTTATGTTTATTTAATCTCAATTTTTGTACCTTATTTTATGACTTTGTTGTACCATTCTATAATTTTTTAAGTAAGTGAATATTGTGAGTGCAGTAATATCTAACAAGAAAAAAAACGTTATCTTCGGCAGCGCGTGACCGATGCGGAGAGATTAGCGGAAAGAAAAGGACGAGTGCGATTTTTCAGATCGATTTCTCTAAAGCTGAGTAGCTAACAAACAGACGTTTCCTTGTACACGTTCCAAACTCAGTGACAATGTTAATATACCCAGTTCAGCGTGTATTTCAAAAACGCATAGGTATTACTGACATGAGTTAAATATCATTCAAAAGTATCTAAATAATCAATTTTTATGCCACCAACCCAAAAAATTATAAGCACTTACAATTTAATTATACATCCTAACGCAAATATCCCATAACGTTAAGAAAAGAATAACTGAAACTAAAAGGTCCTCTTATAACCATCACATTATATTGAAACGCCACGCTTTAGATTAATCTATACAACAAACATGGACAACACGTCCTCAGTTGCAAAAATAACCTTTTAAGAGACTTATGGGATCATCTCAGTGTGACGCCCCAAAAAATCAGTGATTTTCGAGATTTTTCAATAATAATTATAACAATAATTTCAAAAAGATTATTAATCTATAGATTAGCGCTATCGCGCTATGGAAGCTTTTTTTTTTTTTTTTTGATTTTTTTTGAAATTTGCCAAATTGTGGCGGTTTGAACAAAAATTCGGCTACTTTGGCTCTTTTAGTTTCAAAGAATGTTTATTACAGTGTATACTATCCGATAATGCAATAAAAAAAATCGATTTTTGGAAAATTTCTCACTGAGACGATCCCTTACGGTCATCTTTAGATATTTTAAATCGAGTATTTTTGTTTTTTTTTAGATCGCGTGGTTTCCTCTATTTTATTTTATTATGCAAAGAAGAATTAAAGTAATAATGGAAGTTATAGGAAAAAATAGATTCAAAATGAACAAATATTGCAGATATAAAATGACAACTTTTTCATCTTGCCGTCATGATTGGTTAACAGTCGTACAATTTGTTAGCTCGATAATGTTATCAGAGGCAACATTGCCAATGGAAAAAATGTATTGCTTAATGAAATAATTTCCTCTAACTCTTGAGCATCATGTTCAAATCATCGCTCTAATTAGCAGCCAAATCATAAAATTATATTTACTCCGAAAGTTTTATAAAATTAATATTTATAAAATAAAAATCTTTCAGTCTTTTTAAAATTATAGGTAAAAAAACTTTTCTGTTATTGATAATAATTTTATCTTGTGATAGCAAGGTCAAATAGTTTGCTATAATTATAACCAGTACTACTAAGACAAAACTGCGTAATATTAAAATATCGAACTATGTATATTTTTTCAATACGTTGCCAATTAATACTTACTTTAAGTACTTATACCTTACCTAAGCATTTTCTATAAATTATTGTATTTTTTTATAATCTATAATCTTTGCATTATACATAAAATATACAGCCCTCAGTCGACTTGGCAACCCCATGTGATTAAATATGTTGCGAAATTTCCATTCCATACATTAGATTGTTAATAAATTGATTTTTTAATCAAATTAAATAAATACATCTAGTTAAAACTTAAAATGCATAGAAAAGTTATAATTGCTTCGTTATTGCTTCTTTTTATCCAAATGTCAAATGGCTAGTATTAAAAATGCATCGCGTTCGTGCTTTGTTGAAGTCTTTTGTTTTTTTGTTGGAAATATATTCATATACACATTGATACATATTAATTATTTTTTAATAATAATTTTTTAATACAAATTTAAACAATGCTATTTTTTTTTAGGTTTGCTTCGTCGGTGTTTTCAATGCCGATCTAGAGGTGAACTTGGAAGCTGTAAAGATCCATTCTCTTTTAATGCAACTGATGTTGAAAATGAACCCGGATTGTCGGCTGTACCATGTGCATCTGGATGGTGTGGAAAAGTAATTGAAGGTGGTGGCACATATGCCGTGGACGGTATACAGCAACGTTTAAAAATTTCAGTATGACATATATTTATACTGTATTTTTTAGACTACGATCAGGCAATACAGCGGATGTGTGTGCAACGGGGTCCTGATGACAATCAAGATCGCTGCGCCAACACAGTTTACAATTATAAAAAAGTGTATATGTGCTTTTGCCAAGGAGATTTATGCAACTCAAGTTCAAATATTAGCAGTCATTTTTGTTATTTGGGTATTTTAATAGTCGCTTTTGTATGTAATACTTTCTTTTCCTTCCAACGATAAATTTAGATTAAGTGTTCCTCAACACTCTCTAAATTAAATTAAAATCCCGTTTATATTGTTAATAAAAATGAAACACGAAAGAGTGGCATTTTTATTTCAATTTACATATTAATTCTCCAAACATAATTAGTACTAAGAATTTTAGTACTGATGCTTTTACCCAGAACTATCGTTTTCTGGATCACATTTTATAGTATTAACAATATTGAACAGGTTACGCATTTGTAATTTGTACATTTTGCTTTCTTGCTGTAAATTCATTCGCCGGTCCTTTTCATGAGCGAGTTTTTTTTCAAGCTCTTGTGCAGTGGAATGCAGAGCATCTGTTTTCAAAAATATTAAATTAATTTTTAGATAAATTTCTTTTGCAATAAAGCAACGTTTAAAATCTCACCTTTACTAGATAAGCTTGATCGTTGACGTTTACAAGCAGGACAAAGTTTCTGTAATACATTTCCTTGAACAGGAACATTTGAATGATCAGTTGTCTTTTCCTCTTCTTCTATATGACATATTTGATGGTAATATCCTTTGCATTCGAGACATTCATCAAAACAACCTGATGTGATCAAAGCTTTAATTTTGAACACCTAAAGCCTTAGTAGTTATTTTAATTTACATACCCCCACTTTTTAGGCACTCATTGCAGCAACGTTTTTCGTCTGGTGAGCTAGAGCTAGATCGAGAAGGTGCTTGGTTCTCATTTTTTTCAGTATTAGTACGCTTCGGGCGTTTCGATTGTAAAACGCGTTTTACTTGTGGTGAAATAAGAAAAGCCTTGCGCTTTTTTTCTGGGGGAGGATAGCTACCATACTAAAAAACAAATATTTAACACATTAACTTTTTATCAAAAATATTTTAATTGCATTTTTACCTCAATGCGGCCATAGTGAAAATCAGCACGTTCGTTGTTATGGACAGTACGGCGTTTACGTTTTGAACGACGTTGTTGCATCTGAACGAGCATTATTGGGGTAAAAAGTTGAAACAAACGCAAAAACATTTCTTGCCCGTAATGTTCGGGCAGAGTTCGGAGTTCAGTCGAATCCATGACAGCCCATAGGCATTGGGTTGGGGTTTGAAGTCTTTCAGGATTAGAATCATCAGAAGATGAATTTAATTCTGATGTATTTTTTTCTCTTGTGACTATTGCTCCCGTTAATACATTTCCACCAGTGTTTCTTGAAGATCTTGTTCTGACTTCATACTTTCGTTGAGATGAATGTGTTACCGATTCCAAAGAAGTGGAGGCAGGACAAACCGATGTCGAGGATGTGGGTATAGCTCGAGCTATCATGCTTGCAGCTGCCTTTGCTACCATATTTTCAGTACGCGCTTTATTAAGAGCTTGCCGGAGATTTAGGCGGCTAATTTTTACGTTCTTAGAAACAGGTAAATCTTCTAATGGCTCAATAGATTCGTTACTTTTTTGCGACGTACTGGGAAAATCTGATACATCCTCTAGCGGCAGTACATCATCCTTTAATGGCTCATCATTACCTTTTTCTTCCACAAGGTTCATTTGCAAGAATTTGGAAGCGTCGGTAAAACGCCCACTGCCAACCAATCGTTGTGAAATTGGTTTCAGTAAAGACATTTGAGACAAACTACTCGAATTTTCCCCAGAACCTTGCAAATGGAAGGCATCATTACTAGTTGCACTAAAATTATCAATCAAGTCACCTGAAGATAAAATTTGATTATGGTCTTCATCCGAATCTTCAATTTCATATACTATCTTCTCTTTCTGTACTTCAAAATACTTTTCGATTAACTTTTGTTCCGTATTACGAAAAAGTACCGTTGCGGGTAATATATCTATAGTAAGGTCATTTATAAGTGGTACCACCTCCTTGGAAATTGTAGAATTTATTGCTTCATAATCGATGAGGACGTCATTCCTTTTCAACATTTTTGTAAATTCATCAACTATACGGCGTAGTCGTAAAAATAGAAAATGCTGCTCAGCATTTATTTCGTAAATCTCCGATTCAATTTCTTCCAAAATACGTTGTTTTTGAGCCGGGTCCTACAAAATGTGTTATATTTTTTAGTAATACACATAATTATAATCCCTAATTTCTAAAAATACACAGTACACTTAATATAATAAATATCTTAGGACAATATTGAAAATAATATTAACTTAAATAATGCGCAAATTCTGTCTTAACTTACTGCATCTTCCTCCTGATTAAAAACGTCGATCACCATCTAAAGTACACAACATTTCATAAAGTTTAATGACATGTGATAATAATTTACAAACAAAGTAAAATATACCTGATGGACCTTAATATGAGCCTTTAAAGAGCGCTGACAGTAAACAATATCATTCCTTATTTCTTTGGGAAATTTAAAGAAGTTATCCAAATAATATTGAAAAACACGCGAATTCACTGTGATCATCTTTAGCACACAAAAATTTACAAGGTTAAATCAATTTATGATTAAATGAGGACGTTGATACTTGTGATAAAAAATGTTTTATAATTGCCATTCAGTTCCAACTTCCGTTTTAAAATCAAGATTTTATAATCATAGACAAAATCACAACAATATTTTATTTAAGAAGTAACTTACAACTTCTGTCAAGGAATGCTAATTTCGATACAGTTTTTTGTAACAATCGATTAAGCGAAGACGATTCTTAGAGAATATGATAAACTTTCTAACCAGTGCTACCTATTGATGTATCTTAAATAGGTTATAATTCCTCGCATTTCGTTTATAAAAGAACTAAATTCAAAGATTTAAGTAAATTATCATTGAAATTGAACCAGAGAACATATTTTCTGATTCAACTACATTAATTTGGTTAAGTTTATTCAGAGAACGTTTATCAGAGAACGTTCTCTGTATATTATATACGTTCTCTGGTTTATTCATTAAAATTAACAACAGATGGCACGATGATCATCAACAAAAATCAAATGAATTTGTGATCTCAAAAAACTATTCATTTTAATAGGTTGAACTTCCCTTCATATCGATATATATAGATAGACGTTCTCTGATCTGGTACTGTACAGGGAAGTTCAACCTATTAAAATGAATAGTTTTTTGAGATCACAAATTCATTTGATTTTTGTTTTGATCGCAAAATTTTTGTCTTAAAAAAAATCTTACACAACAAAACTTTGTGATATTGTATGAATGTACAAGTTTATAAAATCGTGTTCATTATGTTTTGACATGTTAGCTGGTGTGGCAACTCTACCGACCACCTCTCGGTAATAATTATGTTATCGAATATTATATGAAATAGTGCCGATTTCAAAGGTTTCTGTGTGTGGTTCTGAAAAACACAGTTTTGTATATTTTTAACAAATTGTTTGGTCGTTGCACTTTTTTGCTTTTAAAACATGTGAGATTATTTATGTAACAAGTAATTTAGTAATATTAAAAGAAGTGCTCAATTAGGAAATTTATTTTAGGACTACACCGGTCCCTAACCTTCAACATTACATAATTTCGATTGGCAAATTGCATTTGTTTTTTATTTCAGATAAAATGTCATTTGTTCGGAATACTCGTTATTTAATGGGGCGCAGCATTCATAATATACAAAAGCGCAGATTTGCGGATGAGATGAAACTTACTTTCGCTGCTGCTAATCAAACATTTTATGATCAATCGGAAGTTCGTCAGATTGATGTTCCTTCATTCAGCGGAAGTTTTGGTATTCTTGCAAAACACGTACCCACTTTAGGTAAGAGTAACTACTAAAAATATGTAAGTATAATTGTATATAATTTTTATTTAATGTTTATTTTTCAGCCGTTTTGAAGCCTGGTGTGGTGCAGGTCATTGAAAACGATGGAAAAACCTCAAAATATTTTGTATCAAGTGGTTCAATAACAGTAAATGAAGACTCATCTGTTCAAGTTTTGGCTGAGGAAGCGCATAAGGTCGAGGATATTGACGTTTCTGAAGCGAAACAGCTTTTGTCACAATATCAATCACAATTAAATTCTGCTTCCAGTGAAGAAGTAAGAATGTTCATGTTTCCTTATAATAAATTTTTGATTAACGATTTACCTTTATTCAGGCCAAAGCGGAAGCAGCCATAGCTATTGAATGTGCAGAGGCTCTTGTCCGCGCTGCAGAATAAAATCAATTATTTTCTCTACATCGTCAAGGTCACAGAAAATGGTATACAAAATGAATATCTGTTTGAATGTTCAAACTGAAACTCATATTTAAAGTTTGAATAAACTATAAAAATGCCGACATTTGATGATTTCATAGTTCTTTTTTGTTTCTACAATAAAATAGGATAATTAAGCCAACCAAGTGAAAATATTAAATAGACAAATCGCGTCTGTGTAATTGAAACGGTTTTCGAATGTAATATAGTTTTTAAATAATTACAGGAAATGCAACAATATATGTACCATATACATATGCTTTTTTCATATGTGAGTTTCGTGCTTTTTTCCCCTACAGTTCAGGTAATTTTATCATGAAGTTTATAACATCTAGAAATAAACGTTGGTGGGAACAAATATCGTCAAGATTTTTTAAATTTGCCTTATTGTTTTTATGGTGTTAACTATGAATGTCCCTGAAATATGATAACATTTTTCGTTCATTCATTGCTTACTTTATGCGTGAATTCATGATTTTGAATATTGGACGCGTTATCCCGAAAAATAAAGCGGAACTCTAAGAGAAGTTCAAAGGTCTGGTGTTCTGTTCCACAAAACACTTTCCTTAGCCTAATTAGGTCTATGCCTAGAAGATGTGCATTTGTATTAGACGATAAAGGGTACACTACAAAGTACTAACAATTTTTATACTCTCGCAACAAAGATGCTAAGGAGAGTATTATAGTTTTGTTCACATAACGGTTGTTTGCAAGTCCTAAAACTAAAAGAGTCAGGTGACGAGTAGAGTTGAAATCCGCATGTCTGTCTGTCCGTCCGT